AAAAAAAAAAGAATCAGGATGATCGTTGTACACTTAAACAGATAATCAGCTGAGAGACCCTTCCACTAATGAACTTACCACTCCTGGAAATGAGGCCACCATCGACTCTCAGAGCTCAACTGCTGGAAGACGTAGAAATCCTCATCACAGGCTCACAACTGCAATGTGGACTGGAGAAGAGAGGGTAGAAAAATAGCTGTTTGGGCACGGAGGTGGTACCCTGAAATGTTTGAGATTCCAACAAACCCTGCAGTGCACCTAAAAAACATACTCACCATGCCCTCATTGTCATTTCTGCCCCCACGCCCTCCAGCTCTGAACTCCCAAGTCCGTATGTTTCTGATTCATTGACAGTTCGTTGGAATCATTGTCTAAGAGCCATTGAGATCCAAAAAAACTGCTTTTAAAAGCACACTCTTTGAGGAAAGCTGTTCAACCCCAAACTAATTTGAAAAGCTCTTAAGATTTAAGTTGGCACATGGGTCCAAACCGCCAGTTTTTCAAGTAAGCTCCATTCTTGGCAAATGATGGCCTCCTCCTCCAAGCTGGCGCAGCTTAGCTCAGAGGTCCGAGAATGCTGGCTGAGGGGATTCAGGGAAGAATGTGCGTTGTTTCTGGCCAAGGTGCTCAAGTGCCTCTTAGAAAAGGTGCAAACTCCCCTGAAGCATTACCTTCCTCCCTCTCTTCATTCTTAAAACCAATGTTTACCTTTAATGTATCTCCCACAGGTTGGAATCAGGAGGTAGTAACCCTACAAGCAGTGATTCTTACAGTGACCGGGCCTCAGCAAGAGCCCGCCGCGAGGCCCGGGAGGCCCGCCTTGCCACCCTGACCAGCCGCGTGGAGGAGGACAGCAACAGGGATTATAAAAAAGTAGGCTCCCTTTTCAACTTTGCTGTTGTTGGGTTACAACACGTAAACCTCTCAGCCTTTTCCCCAATGTAGAAAAATGATTGTAGTTCCCATGAAGCAGAAGAAAAGTGCTTTACGTGATAAATAGTAGCAACTAATTTTCTTGGTTTGTTCCACCTCTCTACCAGTTAAACACAGACCATTTCATATATTGTTTTTAGTGCAGTAAATATATGCCTTGAATCAGATATTTAGAAGTGTAGGAAAAAGTAAAGATTGACAATTGTAGAAAGGGGAAATAAAATTAGTGCTGTGTGTCTGAGCCCAGAGAGTCATTTGGTAAGACTCATATTATTAACAGACATGTGCTTTTAATGAGGTCCTGTGAATGTCAACCAAATACTTCTCGGTGATGGTAAATGATAATCTGGTTTGTTGGGGGTTTAAAACACTTTACAGTTCATTGCCTTTGGTTCTTGCAAAAGAGTACCTAGCTCCAGGGGCTGACTTGAAAACCTTTCCTTTCAAGTGCTTGAGATGCCAGGGGAGAAAACCATTTTTGTTAATGAAATGTTTGTTTTGTTAATGTTGTGTTAAGCAGAACTTGACTAAAATCAATATATACACTAGACCGGCTCTAAAAAAATAATTCTCTTTGTATGGGGAATGACAGTGACTATTTTTTCCCCCAGAGATTAACATTTTTGAAGTTGGAGCACCATTCTGTTTGTGTTCAGCACCTGGGACTTCACCAGTGTTAAGAAGCAAGAAACCAATTGGCTGAATATATTCTGTTTCCTAGACTTCCTCCATCTTCTCCATCTGTCCCACAATGATGGTTTGGGGTGGGGGTGGGGGGTGGTTCTCGTAGGATGAAACTGTGTGAGTGCTAATCCTGCAAGCCCTGCCTAGTAGGTGACCTGATTCTCTTTCCCTCCCCTCAGCTCTATGAGAGTGCCCTGTCTGAAAACCAAAAACTGAAAACAAAACTTCAGGAGGCCCAGCTAGAGCTAGCAGATATAAAGTCCAAGCTTGAGAAGATGGCCCAGGTAAGAGAGAAGAGGAAAAAGGCTGGGTGGCAGGGTGAGTGTGAGGAGGCAAAGTAACTTGGGGTCTTAGAGAGGGGAAGTGACATGGAATTAAGATTGGCCCTCTTCAGAGACAGGAAGACAGAAGCCCCTGAGATTCTCATCTGATTTCAGGGTTCAGTTGGCATTTAATTCAAGACGGAAAACTGACAGTTCAGTGAACAAGTCCTAACAGCCTGAATGCTAATAATTAATATTATGGATTATCTACTTATTTCTTAGTAAAACGGTATTAACCAGCATCATAAGATTAGTCCTAGACAGTGTCTCCTGTCTTGATCATCATGTTTCAGTTCAGTTTATCTACAGTCACCTCCGAGAGAGGGATAAGCAAGACACCATTAAACCCAGTGCAGAGGTAGCAAATTAGGCCTAGATTTATAAGTGGTTTGCCTGGGTCATGTAAGAAATCAAGGACAGGGGCACCTGGGTGGCTCAGTCTGTTAAGCATCTGACTCGGTTTCGGCTCAGGTCATGATCTCAGGGTTGTGAGATAGAGCCCTGAGTTGGGCTCCACGCTGGGCATGGAGCCTGCTTAAGATTCTCTCTCTCCTTCTCCTTCTGCCCCTCACGCTCTCTTGTGCGCTCTCTCTCTCTCTCAAAAAGAAAGAAAGAAATCAAGGACAAAGGTGTTAGAATGTACAGTCAGGTCCCAAAGCAAAGATTCTGTCTTGCAGCATATGTTACCTCCTCAAGCCGCCACCATTTTTCAGCCTAGAAATAAGGAATGTTAGCGGCAAACAGACCAGATAAACCATTTCCTTTTACTGCCAGGCCTGATTTAATTAGGCGACGCTTTAGAGGATACTAGAGGCAATAACCTCATCACCAGTGAGACAAACACTGCAGCTGAAAGCCGAAGCAGGTGCTGTCTTGGGTTATTGCTGAGTTAACAGGAAACCTATTGAGTTATTGCCCTCCTGGAATGCCCAGTGACTAAGAATTTTGAAAGCTGAACTGAGGTAAAAATGACTCTTCACTGGGAAGGCATAAATGAAAACCAGAGATGGCTAGTTGTTCTGGCCATATGATATAATCCAAAAGCAAAGCCTACACGCTAGGATTGTCCAGTACTGAATACATGGGGCTTGGGGGGCAGGGGTGGTCAAATACCTCTGAACATCTTGCAGCAACCCCTCTGGAATGGGATGGGCCAACACTTGGAAGACAGCAGGACAGACTGCGTGGGATTTCAGCAGGACAGCCAGGACACCCGCATTCTCTAGGGAAGGGCTCGGTCAGGTGCACAGGGGATGGCCTGGCCTGTGCCTGTCCGTTTGGAAGAGGCCCCCCTCCGCCTGGTTGGAGTAGCTGAACGTGGCTTTTCTGCTGGGGATCTGTAAGGCACAGATGACAGCTGAGCATGGAGTGATTCAGTGCGACAGGAACAGTGGGTCTCAGCCCAGGAGAGCACACGCACACACGTGCACGCACACACGCACGGCACGGGTAGAACTAAACAAACCTCAAGGGCTCTGCCGGCCCCAACCTGACTGAGCCAGGTGGAATGTCTCGTTCACAGCACACCCGCAGAAGATCCCTGAGGCCGACTTTTATTCTGAGGAGTGCCACGAACTGACAGTGATTAATTAATACAGATCTGCTGCTGCTTCTCATCAGGAATTACTGGGGCTATTTTACAGAAAATTGGGGAGCAGTCATGTGAGGAACCACAGGAAGACCCAGTTTTACCTGCTCCCCCACTCTCTCCAGAAGCACTCTTCTGACAGCACATTTCTTGACCTTTAGGGGTTCTTGGCTTTTCCACCAGCTTGTGCTTTGGAGCAGTGAGCAGGCTAACAAGCTGCTGACATTGACTTGCACAGAGGACACTGGAAATAAAATCAGCCTTGCACTACGGAAGGGTTTACTGTCTAGCCAACTGCTTTGCTGGGTGTGTCGGAATATACTTCATTTTGCCAAATACAGGTGACTAAAAATTAGGAGAAACAGCAGTGCTACACACCAGTTCTCTGCTGTTTACCCCAATGGAGCTGTCGGGCAGGGCAGAGAGGAGGAGGGCCCGTCAGCCGCACACGTTGTAGGGAGCCCCTTACCACATGGACACACACGACGTCTTACATAAAAGGTCCACCCTAACCCTAAGGGGGTTAAGATTTAAAAAACAAGTCAAAACTAGTTCTGTGTAGAAGTGAACTGGTTAAGGTCACTCTGTAGAAGTGACAGCTTCTGTGCTTCTCAGGCTGACCAGGATAGAAACAAGCGCCAGGATCTACTTCTGCCTTTTTTCTTTTCCTTCAGCTTCATAGTAGATTCAGTGAAAGGCAGATGGCCCTGACCTTCAGAACAGAAGGTGAAAGCCCAGGACAGGAGCCAGAAATCAGAGTTTTACTGTTAGTTCTAGCTATTCCTTAATATTCTGAAGAAAGAAACGTCTGCTAGAAGACCAGCATACTTTCTATATTTATTAAAGGTTGCTTGTGCATGGTACTAGGCAAAATAAAAATAATCACCCTGTATTTATTAAATGTAGTCTATTAAATGTAAGAAATTTTACAGTGCTAAGGCCAAAAGGAACTTAAGGTTCAATTCCATTCCCTGTCTAAGAGTCACTACCTGAAGTAATTCTACTTGTTAGCTCTGGTGGCTAAATTTTTTTGGTCCTTCTGTGACATTTATAGCAAAAGTCAAAGATGTTCTAAAAGAAAGTTCTAATCTTTTGTTCAGGTTAAATCTTACCTCACCTGGAAGCTCAGTATACAAAAGAGATAAAAGGGGAACTGTTCAGTTCAAAGCAGGGCAGATAGCACGAGTGAGCTCCTGAGAAGCCCTGGAACCCACCCACACATGCAAACCACTGCTTTAAAAGAGAAACAGCATCAGTGCCCAAAGCAGAAAGAATGAGTGCAAAGGGGTTGCTTAGAAGAGTGCCAGAGACTTAGACCTTCAAGTTCCTGAGTCTCTAGCTTTTAAAGAAGAAAAGCCACTTTTCATTTCCTCTGGGTTGTGGGATTACTCACAGACCAGGAGAAGGGAGGGGTGGTGAGGCATAAGAAGATAGTTGACGTTGAAGAGCTAGCAGGGGTTTGTGTGTGTGTTGTGGGAATGTCTTTGCACTTGTGACTGTGCTAAACTTCAAGAAACACCACTACTGCCTTCTACTCCCCGATGGGAATCCTGCAAACTTCAGAGAGGGAATCATGTCAGGCTTAGAGATCTGTCAGAATCTGTTTGCTAGGGGCCTCTGCCGCAGTGAGAGCCCAAAGCCCTGACATCTATTTCTGGGTGTCTGACGGTGAAGCTGAACCAGACCGGGCTTCCTAGTGACCCTCAGACAACCCAAGTGACCGTTGTTTCTCTTCAATTTGCACTAGCAGAAACAAGAGAAGACCTCTGACCGATCATCAATGCTGGAGATGGAGAAACGGGTATGTGTGTGTTTCTTTCCCCCCTCTGCTTCATCTGAGTTTCTCTGACTTTGTTGTTCACGCCAATGGAAAAAGTTCGTCTTCAGAAGGCGGGAGTTCTGCCACATTCCATTCCCAGCTTGATAATAAATTCTTTTTGTGTGACTCTGGACAGCAGTTTGATTGCTAGTCCTTTTGGCTTCTTCAGATGCTCAGTACTTTTCACTTATTCCAGTCTTAGGGTGGGAAGGGTCCTTGGAAGGTCATCCCATGCATTGGTTTGGCCTATAGGCAGAACTGCACACACACACATACCTACAGTATATTTTGGTTTACTGCAAATCAGCACACACGTACACACCCACGACCAAGGTCTCTTTACCCTTCCCATCACCTTGAACAGAAAGGAAGTTTTCAGCAGGACCCTCTGCCATTGATTTAGGTCTTCTGACTTGAAATATGAGCCAGCAGAATCTTTCCCTCACTCTGACTGGGGGTGGGGAGGGGGCGTTCCAGTTCAATTGCTGACCTCCTCTTGACTGCATTCAGAATATTTTTCTAGGATTTGACATTCTTGGATAGGGAAAACTCAGATTTATTGATGAACCCTCGCTGTGATTTGACCCTAGGGGTGTAATATGTTCCCATCTCTCCTGTTTAATTTGGAAAGCAGCAAAGTTTTACATTTTATTTCCTTGGCCTATAACAAAAACTCGGTATCTCATCTAATCTAAGAATCTTTAGAGTTAAGGCTAAATCAGGAGTGGGTTGCTGGGAGAGAGATGGGTTCGGGGGAAGGGTGCTGTTTCTTCCTAGACAATGAAGGCTACTTCCCCACTCACCATCTGCTCCCCATCATGGGAGAAGCAGCTCCTTAGGAATTTGAGGGGAGCATTCCTGAAGATAAGGCTGCCTTTTATTAATAGAGAGCAGGGGCCCTGGTCACTTGGAGTCATTTGAAATATTCCATGAGATCTTCAGCTTACACAGAATAGCCAGAGTACCCTGATGCTGCCATTTGTTTAACTTCTAATATTCTGATGGGAGATTGAGGTCCTGTGATTTCTCTCAGTGAAGTAGTGTCATCCCATGGATCAGATAGTGCTTAGTCTCCTGCATGAGGTTTGCCTGAGAGGTGGCGCTGCTGATCACACGTCAACCGGGAGGCAGCATTTTGACTCCCTTCTAAACCCAGTAGATGTTCAACAGTCTCCTTGTTTCTCAACAGGAGAAGCGAGCCTTGGAGCGGAAAATGTCAGAGATGGAGGAGGAGATGAAGGTATGGAAAGATCTCCTTTCTCTCTTTGTGTGCCCGTTCCCCAAATGCCTGCCAGGACTGGGTGATTGAGCCTAGGCCCACCTCTCCAGATTTCACCACACACTCCACCCCCTCAAGAAGAAAGGATGTGTGAAGAGGAGCCGAGCATCTCTCCTCAGCCATTTCATAGGCCCTCTCAGATCACACAGCATCCCCTCTGGGCACCTTGCAGCCCTTCTGGGAACCAGTGCTGCCTCTGGTTTAAGTGGGGGGAGGGGGGAGGTATCCGCAGACTGGAGACAAACCTAAGTTGAACTTCTAAGATTTTCCAAGCAGTAGTTTCACCCTCAGGGGCTGGATGGAAACCCTAAAACAAGGGTCCCAGCTCTGCAGGCCTCACATGAGGTGCCTGGGGAAGCCTGAACGCGACCAGAGACTTTCCTGCCTGGTGCGCCTCCCTGTCTCAGCCCTTCACTGGAAGGAAAACAGTTTGAGTCATTCTGCAGCAGAATGCAGATTAATTCACACATCGATTCCCTGCCCCAGCCCACTTCACCTGAAATACTCAGTAATATTCGGTACTCGCCACTAGAATCAGCTCATGCCACCAGTTACACCTCACGGCTCACTGCTTTCCTCTCTCCCTTCACCATGCCCTGCAATGACCAGCATCTCCATTAGCCACTTTAATGAACAACTGCCATCCTAGGCAGCAGCTTTGAGTGCTGAGAACTGGCAGTCGACCCAGAAGAGTCAATTCCCTGCTGTGGAAGAGGCCTGCAGAGCAGTAGGGAACATAGAGCTGCTCGGGGTAGCCACCTGGGGATGATGTGGAGCATCTGAGCCCTGCAAGTGCATGATGCCACATGCCCATAATCACCTAGCACTTGCTCAGCTTCAGACTTTTTTTTTTCCTTCAAGGATCTTATTTTACCAGATGTATGATACAAAGCATTCATCTGGTGAAACTCCGGTTTCTTTACCTGCAAACCAGAAGCACTGGGGTAGAGGCAGATCTCCAGGGCTCTTGCTCTGAACAAGCATCCCTAATATGCAATTAGAGCACTTTAGGAGAGACATTTATTATTACAATGGCCAAAAAAATATATAGTTATTTACTTAAAAAAAACTTCTCAGGACCTGACAAGGTCCAAGTTTACACAAGATCCAGTGCTCATAGTCCTGTTACTCTTTATATAATTCCAGAATGAGGGAGATGTGCCCTGCCCTTGAGTTCTATAGTCACCATTCCAAGGCCGTAACTGATCGCATTCATATAGAATTTCAAGCAATACCTACTTATATCTCCAAAAAGTGGCACTTATATCTTTCAAGTTGATGTAAAACAGCAAGCGTAGAAATAATTAATGGTTGATTCTCCTACGATAAAAACAGGATGACCCAACACCCTTAGCTTCTCCATCTTCTGGTTTTTCCAGATCCACCTCACCTACCGCACAGAAGTATTTTCTATCATTTAGAGAAGTATGTTAGTAGAGCTAAACAGTTCTTGATGAATGAATATCCACAGCTCTTGGTTGCACTGGGGGTAAACCCCTTGAGTGATACCATCTGTACTCTGCTGTTAGGCAGCTGTCAGTGATGCTCCTTAAGGAATAGCCTAAATGCTGATCAGGAGCATGTAAATGAGGCCAAAGCTGGTGCCTTCTAATGAGTACCCAGGAGCTCAAAGCCAGCCCAGACCCACTAGTCATGGAACTCTGCACCACGTCTGCCCAGGCCCTCGCACAAAGACCCAGAAAGTCTCCAAGTGGAGCAGTTGAGGTCCTTCTTTATTTCCATTCCAATCCTAAATTGCCAGGCATGAGAGCCCCTTCATTGGTTCCAGTTGCTCTCAGTTCTATGGTTTGAGACAGGCTTACATATTTCTTTTTCCCTATCCTGCCAGGCTAGGATTTCCTAAACTAGGTCATGAGTTCCTTTCTTTCCTCGGTAGAGATCATAATACATGAAGGTGTTTGCTCCCTCAGCCTTAAGTCGTTTGTCAGCCAACTTCAAATGTTTAAATTATCAAATGGAGCCAGATCCTGGCTGTTTAGACCTCAAAAAATAGATACACCAATTTGAAACTGTTTTTTGTTGTTTTTATTTTCGTTAAAAAACGGACGCAGTCAGTTGCCATTATTTTCCATTACCAATTGCAAAGCCATTTGGAGAAGAAACACCTGCAAGTTCTAAAGCCCCTAAACACCCTTTGCTCAGATAAAGCCCAATACCAGGTTCACGAATCATCCAGCTCCCCCTAGAGGACAAAGGGGAAGGAACATACAAACTCGTAGCCAACGCCAACTTCATTTGTGTCTGTACCTTGAGATAGGCAAAAACTTCAGATATATAGATACAGACATCATAAAATTGATCTCACTGGCCTTCAAGGAGTCTAAGAAGCTGCTCAGGTAGCTTTCAAGGCCTTCTTCATCCAGGCTACAGTTTGTGGTAATCAACATCTTGGGAATGATCAGTGGTCAAAATCTCTGTTCTAGGCAGCCAGTCCACTGCACAGGTAACTGTCTTATCGAATCTGGGACCCAGTAGAACTAAGGGCCAGTTAGCCCCCGTGCCTGCTGCATATTTGGTTTATACAGATGCTCAAACCTCTTGGAGCAATCAGTAGGGAGCAGGTTGAAGTTTGACCTCCAGTGAACTCCGAAGATCCAGTAGGTGCTCAAGGACAGAAAGTGACTCTGGTGCCTGTTTTTCTGATTCTGGCAAATAAAGTGCAACGGTCAGATGAAATGGGGAACCCTGAGATGGGCTCGCCCAGATGTACGTGGGGCCCTGTGCTTGTGACATGGGTTGTGTCTTTCTGGCCTTACAAGAAAGGTAAGTAGGGGCGCCTGGGTGGCTCAGTCGTTAAGCGTCTGCTTTTGGCTCAGGTCATGATCCAGGGTCCTGGGATCGAGCCCCGCATCGGGCTCCCCGCTCCGCGGGAAGCCTGCTTCTCCCTCTCCTACTCCCCCTGCCTGTGTTCCCTCTCTCGCTGTATCTCTCTCTGTCAAATAAATAAAATCCTTAAAAAAAAAAAAAAAGAAAGGTAAGTATTTATGAGTTCTCCCCAGGACAGACTGCACTCAGATCCTGGATTGGAGTAGGATGGTGTGCCAGCCTCTGACAGGCATGCATGTCAGCGTGAGCTGTGTGAGGCTGCACTGGGTCTTGCCCCCATCAGACCTGATGACGTTCCTACTGCATCCTCCATTCAGCATTGGCCTCCTTCCCAGACCTTCTTCCTGCCTCTCCCAGGTCCTTGCATGAGGGGCCCAGCAGGCACTCCCCTTTTAGATTGCTCTTGGAATTTTTATTTTTACTTACTCTGGAAATACCACTAGCTGATCCTGCCCTTGCCCACCCTGCTCTGTGCCCTGCCCTCCCCTCCATCTTGCTGTGCCTTGTTTTCAGTACTATTTCCTATGGAACATTCCACCAGATTGTTTCCTGCCTCTCTCCCTCATGCTCATAACTTCCAAATTCTTCCACCTCGATCTGCTTGTACTCACATGTTAGATTGAATCATTTTCATAGTTCGTGTCTTTAATATTACTCCCTAGGAGGCAAGGACCACTTTGTATAATGACAATGATTATGTTGAAAGCTTTGGTCCAATGTCAACTCCAAAGAAGGGTGAGAGCCAGGGACTTTCCATTGGTTCTTATGTTTGGTCCCTGCCCATTCTTTAAATATTTCCATATGCTGCACCATGATCTCCTCTGATCTCAGTCCTCTCCATGGCCGAGATGCTTGCAGAGGGTAAGGAGCATTGCCTGGTCCTTACCCTTCAATGGCTACATGGAAGTGTTGGGCTGCTCTGCCTTTTTTCCAAGGTGCTCATTCTCCCTCTTTGGGGAAAGAGATATTCAGCAGTTTGTCTCTGCTTGTTTTTCCTTTTCACTGTTTTTTCCCCTTCATGCTGCCTTTCATTTTCTTTCTTCTTCGCTTCCAACTATAACTCCACTAATCCTTCATTTCTGTCCCTCACATCCATGTGGGTATGAGAGACTTTCTGGTTTGTCATCACTGTAATCCACAGGATTTTTCATCTTCCTCTCTGAAGCCCCATTTGCATAATAAAATCCTTTTCCTCCTCCCAGAGAGCTCGGTTATAGGTCAGTACAGACGACTACTTAGGCAAGGATAGTAACCGTAAGCAGACCTGTGATATAATGCCATTTATTGAAGTCTTTAGGTCCTTTATGGGCTCTGAGGTATGAGGAAGAATATCTGTGGACTGGTTATTCTGTCCCATTTGTAACACTTAACAAATAGTGAGGTCTGAACTAGTAAATCAGCCCAACCAATTCCATTATCTTGGACATTTATGATTTCTCCAACTGTTGTGCACAGCTGTAATTTTCATAGTATGAGTCTGTATGTGAACACCTCCAGGCAGCTGCCCGCCTCTTTATGAGCTGGGACAAAGAGAGCACAGTTAGCTGTGAATTTCATGATGCAGTTGGTCCTATAGCAGATCAAGGGCAGGTTAGCAGTTCTTGGATCCTGGAACAAGCATCTGGACTGCAGTGGAGAACTAGCAGGGTTAATGAAGCATCCTACAAAACAGGTTAGAGGACCGTGCAGACAACTGCCAGTCTCTGATCTTGTATGTGCCCCTTCAACATTCTAAACAGTACATGCCTCGTACAGAAGATACTTAAACAACAGGCCCCTCTTTTATTTTCCTTGTTTCACTTTTTTAAAATATGAAGTAAGAGAAGGACCCAGAAAAAAAAAACAATTAGGAGTAGGGGGCCAAGTATGGTGCAAGATGAGAGGAGGGAGAGAGAAAAGGGCCTTAGCTGGATTTAGGAACACACAGAGTCCTCAACTCCAGGACCCATTGATGATGAAGAAGGCCCCTGAGGCTATGGCTCAACTATGCTAAATCAGTTCAGAAGGCCCCAAGCCACACAGTGGGCTGTCATTCTCAAAAGCGATCCACATGTGCTATTTGAGAGCGTGGTGGTTGTATTCACATGGCTGACCTGCAGCATAGTTAGACCTTA